AGAAAGATTAAAGGCAGCTAAAACTTACCCTGACAAAAGGAGTTGCTTAACATCACCGCATCAAAGCATCGAGAGAAATATAAACAAGGATGAGCAGTTGCTTTCTGCCGAGCGTTCGGGGCTGCCACCAGACCCTCGGGTACGGGCATTTGCAGGCTGGGAGCTGAACTGCTCAGCAGCAGAACGGCCCAGCCGGGCCCGCCGCGGTGGCTGTGAAAGCACTGAAAGCACGTCCCCGCCGCGGCAGCCGCAGCACCCAACGGCACGGGGTGACCACTGCAATTACAGTGCTGTTCACCCACACACAGCTCGCTGCTCATCCAGGCAACGAGGCTCAAACCCACCTCCCCAGGCTCCTCCAGTCACAAAAGCCCCTTTCCAGGCTGCGGCAGAACTTTTTCATTTAAGCCTCGGCATCAGGGAGCCAGCCTGGTTTAGGTCCAGGGCAGGTTTTTGACAGCAGTCACTATTCAAACTATGTGTATCACCTGCTACAACGCACAGAAACCACCAGGGATGCTTCAACAAGCAGCACTAAGTGCTGGCAACAAACCTAGAAGTGCTTTTCCTAAAAAAATAAAAAAAAAAATCTCTGAGTGAACAAACATGACCCACACTGTCCGCAGAGAGAGATTTTTGCCTGTGGAACACGAGGGTGACAACAGAACTCCACGGACACACTTGTCCAAAATACAGCTTGGGGTTTGCCATCCCAGTGCCCAGAGGCCCCCTCAGCCCTGCAGAACTTTCTGCAGATGCTGGAGTTCACACATCCAGCACTGCACAGAGCTCACCGAGACGCACGAGAACTTGCTGAACAGGACGTAATTAAGACTGAAGCATTCCAGAACAGACCAAGTGAACTTCAAAAAAGAAAGAAAAAAAATAAATCCAAGGCACCTCTTCAAACATCTTTCACTGGCTACCAGGAGAGCCTAAGATGTCTAGCTGAAGACTTAAAGAAAAACTGTATTTAACCTGAGTTACTGTGTAGCGTTTCACAGCAACTTGTGTATCAGCCTCCGTATATTCCACTGCTTCCACGAAAGGGATTAACGTGGTTCAATCACAAGACCTCACCTAGATATTCCCTTACAAGTCTTACTCTCGATACTGTTTCTTTCTCGCTTGTTTCATTTATTTGTAGGCTGAAAAGAAAAGGATACTATAAAAACCCCTAAAGGACACCTAACAACTATTGCCAAACGCAGATTGAGCAAGCTGAAAAAAACCACAGAATTTATCAGCTCAATTATAGTAATAATTTTTTCAGTCTATGGAAACACAGCAGGCATAGCATGATTAACTTATCACTGTCCCTTTCACAAGATTCATTAATCTCTGAAAGCAGAAATGCAAGTCCAACACACTTCGTGTTCCTCAGAAACCACTGTTTCAGTGATTGAAACAGTGGGAACACCGGGAGATGTCGGTCCACACACACATGCTCTTGTGCACACACGTGTGTATTTACAACAGGCAGGCGCTGCTGGAAATGAAACATTTTGATGCACCTTATTATCTACAAACCCATCACAACCGAAGTACAAGGCACGCCAGAGAGACTACACACAGCCCGACTGCCAGGCTGCCGGGCATTTCGTCACACAACCAACCCCACAACTTCAATTATTATCTGCAAATCGTTTGGGTTTTAAAGGAAAAACGCTCGGGACCGTTTGAGCCAAGCGCTTTAAACCTGAGTCACAGGTGGGGAGGCAAGGAAAAAAAAAAGAGCAAAGTATTAGCTGGGGCGTGGAATTAGATGGTCTTTAAGGTCCTTTCCAACTCAAACCATTCCATGATTAAGAAGCTGTTAGGGAGGTTTTATTCCGTTTTTATTGCTACATGTGTTGCATGTAGGGGCACAGTGGAAGAGCCTGTATAGGGCTGCTAGCAGTGGGTTTTCAGGAGTACATAAAAACCCTGACCACCCTTCCATGAAGCCACCTTCAGCTTAGATTTAGATTAGATATCAGAAAGAAATTCTTCCCTGGGAGGGTGGGGAGGCCCTGGCACAGGTTGCCCAGAGCTGTGGCTGCCCCATCCCTGGAAGTGTCCAAGGCCAGGCTGGACGAGGCTTGGAGCAACCTGGGACAGTGGAAGGTGTCCCTGCCCATGACAGGGGGTTGGAACGAGATGAGCTTTAAGGTCCCTTCCAACCCAAACCCCATTCCACGATTCTACAATAAGCAGGATGGTCAGCCCTTCTCCTTCCCTACCCGCACCCCACTCACCTGCACACCCCCATCATCCGAACTAGGGAGCTAAAAACGAGGACGACGGAGGAAAAGAAGGGGAAACCCGACTCAAAAAAACGCCTTTTCCAACCGCTATTTATAGCCGGGACGGTACTTGGCGTACGGGTCCCGCCCGGTAACTTCGACTGCAGGAGGCCCAACCCACCCCCGCCGGGAACCGCGGCAGGGCGGGCGGGCCCCCCAGCCCCCCCCTCCGGCGGGGCGGTCGGGAGTGTGTGTGTGTGGGGGGGGAACCGCCGTGGAGCCCCGCCCGAGCCACCCCCGCGGCCTTACCTGTGCTATCGCTGGCGGAGAAGCCCGGCGAGTTGAGCTTGGCTCGCTTGGGGTTGGGCGGCCCGTCGAGTAAGTTCTCCGCCATGGTGGCCGAGGCGGCGGAGCCGGTGATCGTTGTCGGGGGGTGCCCCGGGGGGGGGGCCGAGCTCGCTGTCCCCGCTCCTCCGCCGCTCGGGAACCCAACAGCGCCGCTCAGTGCCCGGCCGGCCGCCCCCGCTCCCCCATGCCGGGCCGCCGCAGGCCGCAGGGAGGAGGGCTCGGGGCGGGGAGCGAAGGGCCCAGCGCCCCCTCCCTGCCGGCCGCGCTCCTCCCGGGCGCTCCCCCCGCCGCGGTGCCCGGATGGCGGCTCAGGCCGTCACTCGGGGCGCATTCCGCCCCCCCACACGCTCCCCTCGCCTCGCCCCGTCCCCTCCCCTCCGCGGCGGCGGCTTCGCCCCGGCCCCCGCCCGCCGCCCGCCCGCGGCCGAGGTAGGGGAGGGAGGAGGGAGGAGGGGGGGGCGAGAAGAGAAGGGGGGGGGCGGCAAAAATTAAAAAAAAAAAAAAAAAAAAAAGGAGAAAAAATCGTCAGAAAGCGGAAAAAACCGCGCCGACACCCCCACGAAAAAAACCGCCCCAAAACAATGAGCGCGGCGCGGCGGCGGCGGCGGCGGCGGCGGCTCCCCCCGGTCGCGGCGGCGGCGGGCGGTTGGCTCCGGGCGGCTGCGCCCCTTGCTCGGCTCGAGCCGCCCCCCCCCACCACCGCTGTGCGCGTCGGCGGCGCTCGGCGCGGCTGCCCCGTGCGGCGGTGGGGCGGCCCCGCTGCCCCCGGCCCGGCCCGGCCCGGCCCGCTCCGCCCGCGCCGCGCTCCGGCTCCGCGACAAGATGGCGGCTGTTGATTCCTCAATTAAAAAAAAAAGTTTTTTTTTCTCTTCTCTTTTCCAGAGCCCTCGGGGGCGGGGCGGGGGCGGGGCCTGCGCGCTGCGTCAGCGCGCTCGCGGGCGCGGCCCCGCCTTCCCCCCCCCTCGTCCCTTCCCTCACCGCCCCCCCCCGCCGGAAAGGCGCGCGCGCGGCGGCGGAAGCGCCCGGCGTCGTCCTCAGTTGCTCCGCTGAGGGGATCGGGGATGGAAGGGGAGGTATGGGGGGGTAAAGGGTCTCCGGTGGCGATCCCGCCCCCCAGACCGCGCCCTCGTTGTGCGCGGCGGTGGCCCCCCCAACCCGTCCGAGGGGTCCCGCCTCGGTCTATCCTGCTTGGATCCTGTCGGGGCTCCTCCTGTCGGGGCTCCTCACGCAGTACCCCAGAGCGTCCCCTCTTCGTCCCTCACAGCGGCCCCTCGGATGCCTCAGGGCTGCCCTTACAGTGTCCCCTCTCAGTCTCGCCTCAGTCCCTCTCAAAGTGGCTCCCCAAGTCGCTCGCCTCGGTCTCTCCTTGCTCCTGTCAGGGCTCCCCCCACAGCTGCCCTCTCATAATGTCACCTCTCCGTCTCCCCTCAGATGTCCCCTCCTCAGTGTCCCCTCCTTATGTCCCCTCAGATATCTCAGAGGCCCCCTCACAGCATCCCCGCTCAGTCTCCCCACGGTCCCCTCTTCCCTCCTCAGTCCCCTCACAGTCAGCCCCACAACTCCCCCTCCCAGGTGGTTCAACACCCTCGTACAGTGTCTGTTCCCTCTCAGTTTCCTCTCAGTTCTCTCAGATTCACCCCCCAAGTCGCTTGCCTCGGTCTCTCCTTGCTCCTGTCAGGGTTCCCCCCTCAGCACCCCACAGCTGCCCCCTCACGGTGTCCTCTCTCCACCTCAGCACCCCTCAAATATCTCAGTGCCCCCCTCACAGTGTCCCCTCCAAGTCTCCCCACAGTCCCTCCTTCCGCTCTCAGTCCCCTCACAGTCACCCTCCAAATCTCTCCTCTCATTTCCCCCTCTCAGTCTCCTCTCAGTCCCCTCAAAGTGCCTCCCCCCAGGTCTCTTGCTCACTCTCCTGCTTGCTCCTGTCAGGTGCTCCCCCCTCAGCACCCCACAGCTGCCCCCTCAGTCTCCCCTCTTCTCAGTGATCCCCTCACAGCGTCCCCTTTCCATCTCCCCTCAGATGTCTCAGTGCCCCCCTCACAGTGTCCCCTTCAAGTCTCCCCACATTCCCCCTTCCCCTCTCAGTCACCCCCACAAACCCCCCTCTCAGTCCCACTGTAGATGGCTCAACACCCCCTCACAATCCCCCCTCCCAGTCTCCTCTCTCAGTCCCACCATGGACATCCCTTCTCAATGCCTCCCTCACAGCCACACCCCTCACAGCATCTCCTTTCAGTCACCCCTAGTCCTCCCAGTTTCCCCTCTCAGTCCTCCTACAAATGTCCCCTCTTGGTCTCCCCTCACTGCAACTCCCCTCACAGTCTCCCGTCTCAGTTTCCCCTCAGTTCCCTCTCTCAATCAGCCCTTGCAGTCCCATCACAAATGTCCCCTCTCAGTGTCCCCTCACAACCTCCCTTGCCAAGCTCCCCCCTCAGTGCCCCCATTTCCCCCCACGTGCCCTCAGAGCAGCCCCACGTGAGGGCAAATCTCCAGTGGGAGCTGACCCACTCTCACAACAAACCCAGCCTCACTTTACAAACACCTTATGCTCTGTCTAGACAGACCTCCCCAGCCCAAAACAGGTTTAGAAGACTGGTGCTCACATACTTCCATGGATTTCCATACTGGTTCCCAACCTGAGAAGCAGGTCGTATAAGCCCTGGTGACGTGTGTGGCAGCAGAGCTACTTGTACCCAAACTGGTTGCTTGGGGCTGTTTTCATCGCCTTTGTGCCGGAATGTCCTCGAAGGGCAGCCTCAACGGGAGGAGAGGCTGGAGAAGGGCACTGAGACAATCCCCAGGATGTGTTGATGAGCTCCATAAGCCGAGGTGGATTCATCACCAATAATGTATTGGTTTAAAGGAGATCCATAATGACATCTTCTTTTGCAAAGAGTAAGTCTGCCTTTTGTTTACTGCAAAACTGGAATTCATTGCATTTACTTCTACATTTACATGCATTTCATTACATTTACTTGCAAATTCTGTATTTATTTACATGGTGCCTGTCCTTGCTAAGGTCTGGCTGTAATCACGTGGAGGTCTCTCACAGGCCTCTGCTTCTGTCACTGTATTACTCATTAGTTACCCAAGTAAGGGCTCCCTGGTGCTGCCTGCTATAATTGCCTTCAAAACCAGCGAGTTCCCATCTGTTTCAGGATGTCTTGGTGTGGGACAGGGTTCAGTGTCCCACAGTGGCTCCAGACATGAGAGCAACAGCTCTCGTCCAGCAGTGTTTTACTGTGATAGAAGGCATTTATCCCAGTTTAGGTGAAGGGAATACATTTTGCTGTTGGAGGTGAGGGGTGGGAGTCAGGTCAGATGTCAGGCACAGCTGAGGACAGCAGTGCCCTTTGCTGGCTGCTGCTTCGATTTTTTAACAAGTTTGGTTGGTGTATTTCGAACTGCAGCTTGGATCACTTCTTGTGTTTGCTTTGCCCTTTACAAATTGGGCAACCTGGAGCAGTGAAAGCTGTCCCTGCCCAGGGCAGGAGGGTGGAATGAGGTGGGCTTTAATGTCCCTCCAACCCAAAGCAGTCTGTGATTCTATGATTACATCACTTGTGGAATTGCTGGAGCAGCTGACACCAGGAGCCCCCATAGCACTTAGCTCCCCTGATGACCCCCTTCCCTGCTGCTGCTCTAACTCTGCAACTCTGGCATGAAGTCAGGATGGACAGATCCTGAGTGGTCCCACAGCTACCTCCTGGCTCCAAGAGGTTCGTGCTGCCTGGTGCTGGGCAACACACCGATGTCACACCAGCACTGTGACTCTGACCACACAGCCACTGAGCAAGGGACTCCGACAGCCCCAGTGCTGTGACAGGAGCTGCTGTGTTGGTGCCTGAGAGGGAAATGCCACGTACTCAGCGTTGGGAACGGGGAGCAGACCAGAGGAGCAGACATGGAGGGTGTGGTTCCTCTTCCATTAGTTTGGGAGAACTCTTCCATCTTTACAGCAAGAGCCAGGCTTGCCATGTTGGGGAAATCAGAGCGGGGCTGTGAGTCCCAGGAACAGAGTGGAAGGGCAAGGAGGTGCTTTGGAGAGAAGGAATTCTTTCCCTGAGGCAGTGAGGGCAGAGGAGGAGGATCCTCTTGCTGCTGGGTCCTGCAGCTTCTCTGTGACATGATGTCCCCTCAGGATGGCCTCAATTGCCCCCTGCCATGAGATCTGAACAGCACCGGGTTGATGGCAGGAGGGAGAGGAAGACTTTGCCTGTTATCCACTGCCCCCAGAAACAGGACTATGATTAAATACCCCAAAAACCTAGGAGTTCTGCAGCGCCCAGGGTACCACAGCCCTCTGGTACCAGTATTGCAGGAGTCAGACGGCCTGAACCACTGGCAAACGCCGAACACGGAATGAGCTCAAACAGAGTAGGAGGATTTTGTGAAAAGAAACTCTTTGAAAGACACCACGTAACAAGCACACCAGGATTCCCAGTTTGGACCCCAGTGCACGGCTCCCTGCTGCCCCAGCTGATGGCTAAGCCCTTGCTTGGATTCCTGCAGCCTTCATCCACGGTGCTCGGGAGGCAGGGTGAAGCAGGTGCTTAATGGATAACTCCTTTATTCAGGGACTAGTTCCAAGAGAAATTGCATAATAAAATCTGCACTGCTGCAGACTTCCTGTCTCCAGAACTAAGATGCTTAAAGACACAGCTCCCGAGATCCTACCCTCCTTCCCCACCCAAAACATGGAAGTATCATTTCTATAGCTTGTGACCTCAAAACCTTACAGCCAAACAATTAGCAGTGTTTGAATAACTTCTGAGGAGCTCTGCCCTGTAACTTGTAGTCACTGTGGCATCATCAGAGCAGTTCTCAATGGGAATGGGAGTCTGTTTTTCCTGGTAATGTTATGTCCCAGCACCTGGATGCATTACCATCCCCGTGTGCTGCCAGAGCTGTCCCAGGGAAAAGAGAAACCCAGAGCCTGTTGTCTCCTCTCCCCTCGGCCGCCGCAGAAGGTGCTGCCTATTCTTTCTCCAAGCACGTCTGGTTACACACACCCTGCACTCATGGGATTGTGGAGCAACTTTCTGTGAAATAACTGTTGTTTCTGGCTTCTGATTTTCACTGTATGTGTGAATTCCGTGGTGCTCAGGAAGTGGTGGTAACCCGGGACCGCAATCACAGCGCTGTTCTGTGTTTAGCCCTGTGTCTGTGCACTTCTGCAAACCCTCAGCTGCTTGGGCTGCGGAGCTTAACGCACATCCCAAAGGGTCTCCTTGCTTCATTTGATGCAAAAAAAGTGGTTTTTGCAGGTGGCTGAACATGTTCTGTAAGTGCCATCCTGTCATCTAATGCTATCAGGCACTAGTCAGATCTGATTCTGATTCTGCTCTGCTTTTCAGTATGTATTCATTAATTCAAAGCCTTTTCCTACCTACTTGTTGAAAGAGTCTAGTGGGGACTGGATGCAGACTTGGACATTACTGTGAACTGCTCAAATTCCTGTCTATCAGCTGGCAAGCCCATCCTCCCTACAGGCACAACTCAGATGTAGAGGAATCTCCCATGTAACAAGTAAGGCTGTCTCACAGAAGTGAGAATAACAGTTCAGGAAAAACATGTAGTCTTCTGTCATCAGCATAATCAAATCTATCACTCAGAGGTGTCCTTCTTTCCTATGTCCCAACTGTGAAGCCTTTTTGCTGGAGTTGGCCTGTATTTTTGCCATGACCAACAAACTATTAAGAAAAATTTGTATAAATCTGTCTTTGCACTCTCACTCTGGGTTGTTGCTTGATAAATCATAGTTTGCACTTTGCCTGAGAGACAACAGTCCATTTGCTTTATTTTTAAGGTCAAATTGCTCTGAAAAATGTCTGTCTTTGGGCTGTGCTACGTTATGGTTTCTCGTCCATCTGATACCAGCTCGCACCCTGCCCCACAGTCAGTTTAAAAATCATATTTCTAGCCATAAAATAGTGAGTTCACTTTTAGCAGTTGCAATTAGTGGTTTGTGGGTGGTTTCAGCCAACACGGGCCAAAAGAAAGACATGGAACTTTTTTTCCCCTGCAGATTACGGTGAAAGATCCCTTCCCCGAGCACACAGAAAGGCAGGATGCCCATAGATACACTCTGACCATTTGTGAGGGGAAGATTTCTGTGTTTCCCACCTCCCTGCCTTGTCCTTCAGTTAAAGGTTTGGCCTTCCCCATCACACCATCAGGAGGAGGGTGCATCAGCAAGCTCTTCAGGTGCTGCTGCTCACACCTTGGCATGAGGTGAATCCCAGATAAAAGGCAGTCCAAGTTCAGGTGCTGAACTGTGAACTCTGGCAGCGAGCACTGATCACAGTTCCCTTCTGGATCCCCACAGGATCCACCTCTTGCCTGAACCCATATCTTGGAGAAAGACCTCGTCCTTCCCACGAGGCTGGTGCCTCCCTCCATTCGTTCTCCTGTTCTCTCCTGGCAGCTCAGAGCAGTGATGTGTCAGCATCTTCAAACCTGGGGGAGTGGGTGATTCCTCGTCCCTTGAAAGGTGTCTCCAGACTCCTCCTCACCCATTTCTGCCCTCTGCTCTTCCCACCATGGCAGAAGAGAGACAAGACCAGTACCTTCCAGTACCTGAAGGGAACTTATGGGAAAGATGGGGCAGGACTATTTACAGGAGCATGTGGTGACAGAACAAGATGGAATGGGTTCAAACTGACAGACAGTAGGTTTAGATATTAGGAAAAAAATCATCCCTGTGAGGGTGGTGAGGCCCTGGCACAGGTTGCCCAGAGCAGCTGTGACTGCCCCATTCCTAGAGATATTCAAAGCCAGGCTGGACAGGGCTTGGAGCAACCTGGGCTAGTGGAAGGTGTCCCTGCCCATGGCAGGGGTTGGAACGAGATGAGCTTTAAGGTCCCTTCTAATCCGAACTATTCTATGATTTTAGGATCAAGGGCTCAGCATGTTTGACCACACTAAGCATTGCTCCTTTTGATCCAAGGCCATCCTACCATCTATTAACTCATTTGGACACACTGCATATGTCTTTTGTGGAGGTAATTCATTACTATAAATCTCAAAGTTCAGGTATTTTTCTCTCTCTGCATATAGCTTTCATTTTTTTAGTGGTAGCAGTGCTCACAGCAATGCAGTGACTTCCACGTAAGTGTCTGGGATGACATTTGGAAACGCCCTCCCTGCGTTCTGGCTGACGGTCCTTATTTTTTGCTGCAGCAAAATCTGGTGTTCCCAAGAAAACTCTGCCCAAGCTCATAATCTCACCACCATCCTGTGAGCAAAACTCTGCTGAGCCACTGCAAAGCCAGACCATGGGGACACTGGTGGCATTTCTCCCTGCTCTGCCATTGTTGTGGCTGGTGGAGGCAGCTACAACAGCACAGCTCTGCAGTTCCTCCTGCTCCATTCAGCCTTGCCTCTCCTCTTCTTGCTGTCAGCCATGGCTTCAGTGCAAGGCTTTGGTGATCTCTAGGAGCTTCATTCCCGGGAAATTCTCCATACCTTATCAATGTCAATCTTGGCTCCCCCACCAACCTTTAACCTTTTGCTGTGGGTTCAATTTTTAAAAAACTTTATTTCTCATCAGAGACTGTTGAACTCCCAGAGTCACCCAGAGAGCAACTCCAAGCTCCTTTGCAGCATCAGCCTCTCTCCATCGCCCAGGTTAAAAGCCAGCTGTGAAATGTTTTGGATTTAGGTGGCAGACAGGTCCCTCACCTTCTGTGTTAGGCTCCAAGGGTCAACTCTGCCCAAGTTCTTGGAGAAAGGTGCAGCCTCAGAGGTGGCTGCCCTGTCCTTGCTCAGGCACTGCCACGTGCTATCACAGAATCATGGAATGGTTTGGGTTGGAAGGGACTTTGAGGATCATGCTGTACCACCCCCTGCCATGGGCAGGGACACCTTCCACTAGCCCAGGTTGCTCCAAGCCCTGTCCAACCTGGCCTTGGACACTTCCAGGGCTGGGGCAGCCACAGCTTCTCTGGGCAACCTGTGCCAGGGCTCCTCACAGGGAAGGATTCCTTCCTGCAGACTGTACACTCCTCCCAGGGAGGAAAGGGCCCCCAGCGGTGGCCAGGAAGCCTTTCTGGAAAACTGTCCTGCTGAACCAGTTCCAATTTGTATGAAATTCTTCAATATTCATCAGGGCAGGGAGCACACTGAGTTGGGCTGACAGGGGGAATACATTAACTGCCAGTTTGTGCCTCCACCCTCTCTCTTCCTCTACCACAAGGTGTTTTGTTTTGGACAAAGAAAGGGCAACTTCCAAGGAGTTCAGAGCTCAATGCTGTCTGGTTTGGGACCAGTGGAAAGCGGGACCTGGCCCAGTCCCACATTGCCCCACAAGTCGGATGATGATGGCACTTTCCCTCCTTTTTCTAGCAGATAACAAGTTTGTGGAAAACTACTTTATTCAGGTGGGTAACTCCGGAGTATTCAGGGATTCAGTGAGTATTCAGAAACCCCCTGAGGTTTTAGTTTTTGGAATTCGGAAAGCGCTGAAACCTTCTGATCTATTAATTGATAAAGAAAACACTTAATTTCCATGCTGTGTGAGCAAAGCTTTAAAAACAGCTTTTACTTCTGAAACTGAGAAAATGAAAGAAGTAAGAAAGGACAAAGTGACATCAATACACCAATCCACCAACCTTCCCCTCACAGAATTTTTCACATCAGTTTGATTCAAACCAAATTCCTTATTTTTTCTTTTTATGGCAACAACCAGTTCAAAGGCCCCACTGTTTCTCCAGCCCCGTGGTTCTCTCAGAGAGCTCCTTGGGTATGGTCTGGCTCTCATGCATCATCCTGCCGGATGCTTCTTGCATCCCTCCTATCACCTTGTTTCAGCTGCCTGAATCACACCTGGAATCTCCTGGGTGCCCAGCATAGAGCCAGACCCAAACTCATCCTGGTGGTCAAATCCAGAGTTTCTCCCATCACAGCATGAGGGCTTTAGCTGGAAAACTTTTTTCCAGCAGAAATCACCTTTCTCCATAAGTTTGCACAGTGCCTAAACAGTGGGCTCAGGTGAAAGTAGAAACAACTATTGTCATTGTATCTTCTAGCTCGTAGAATCATGGATTCACAGACTGGTTTGGGCTGGAAGGGACCTTAAAGCTCATCTCATTCCACCCCCTGCTCATTCCACCCCATTCCACTAGACCAGGTTGCTCCAAGCCCCATCCAACATGACCTTGAACCCTTCCAGGGATGGGGCAGCCACAGCTTCTCTGGACAACCTGTTTGGGTTAAGGGGATCAGAGCAGGGCAGCAGAGTGGCTGTGGTGGTGGTAATAATCAGCACAGGAAAAACTGGGATCATTTCCACTGGAAAATCTGTGTGAGAATGACTCCAGTGAGGTGCCCGACTGTTGTTTCAAGGTTATCAAAGAAATGATCACCCTCCCAGCTGTGATGTCCCACTCTGTGACATTAATGGCAGGGAAATTTAAAGCCGAAGGAATGTCTTGGCACAGTATGTAATTTGCCTGGGGAAATTAGTTTCAAAAAGGATCAGAAAGTTAAATACTACTGCTGAGCTTAAACGAAGGTGAATAATTTTATAGCCAAAATAATATTTTTCTACGATAAATTATGTAGAAGGCGAGAGTAATAAAATGTCATGCTCCAGGGTATAAAACAATCCCTGTAAAGGTCAGGAAGCTCTTTTAACATACCTGCACATACCTCCAGATGCATTTTAATTTGTTTGGATTTTGTGTCCTTGATTGGACATGATACTTGTCTCGCCTGAAGTTCCTCAAGGCCAAACACCTCGTTGGGTGGACAGAGAAACCTTCCCCAGCTCCCCCAGGATATTGCTCCATCCTTTTAAGCATGAGGTGGAAGATTGTTACACATATCACTCCTGTCCCATTCCTGCAAGACTTGGCATTGGTGGCATCTCACCCTCTGACTTGTGACTCCACAATTTTGCTGTTACAACACTGCCTCTGATTACATCAGGATTAACTTTTCAGCCCAAGCTGTCCACCCTGGGCATGATGCTTAATTCCTGCAATGTGGAGTTCCACAGTGTGGCTGTTGATGTTCTCTGTGCTTTGGTCTTGGATCATCCACAGCACATTCGGCGTTAAGAAGAGAAACTCCCTTTTTTCTTGCCTTTCTTCCTGCCACACATCAGCCATTAAAGCTGATCCCAGCCTTGTGCTCAGCAGGGGAGTGGAGCCAGAGCAGCTCCGAATCACCCAGCCTGGAGGTCCCATCATTGCCATCCTGTAGTGGGGCTTGACAAACTGCTGCAGCTCATCTCAGTCCCCCAGCTCCTCCACATCCAGTGTACTATTAAATATCCATTAGGTACTACTAAACAACCCCAAGCAATAAGTTTGGCCCCTCAGTCAGGTCAGCTCCGCTCTCCGTGGCCCAAGCCCACATCTCCCTGCTTACCTGAAGGCTTCTCAGCTGCCTGCCAGGTTCCTCTACACAAGACAACATTTGGTGCTCATTCAGGGCAATTTACTGGGCTGGTTTGAATATGAGAGCTCTGAAATTTATTTCACACTTGTGAAACGAACCCAGACCCAGCCTCTTCACAGCGGCTGTCAGTGATGCTTGCAGCATCCTGCAATCCTGGGTGGAATTTGCTTGTGAGCTTTGTACAGTTACCCTCTGGGAGAGAGAAAATAGGGGAGAATTCAAGCTAGGAAAGGCAATTTACATTATTGAAGTGTTAAAGCAGGACAGAGCTGTTATCTCAAACCTAAAAGCAGCCAAAGACTTTGTAAAATACAGGATTTTCATAGAATCATAGACTGGGTTGGGTTAGAAGGAACCGTAAAGCTCATCTTGTTCCACCCCTTGCCATGGGCAGGGACACCTTCCACTAGCCCAGGTTGCTCCAAGCCCCGTCCAACCTGGCCTTGGACACTTCCAGGGCTGGGGCAGCCACAGCTTCTCTGGCCAACCTGTGCCAGGGCCTCCCCACCCTCCCAGCCAAGAATTCCTTCCCAACATCCCATCTAACCCTGCCCTCTGGCAGTGGAAATCCATTGCCTCTTGTCCTGTCACTCCGGGCCCTTGTCCCAAGTCCCTCTCCAGCTCTCTGGAGCCCCTTTAGGCACTGGAAGGTACAGAAGACAGATCACCTGAGGCATCTGCAAAGAGGTACCAGTAACCACTGCAGTCATGACATGGGCCTGGTCTCCCCCCAGCCTTCAATCGGAGATGCCCAGAATGATCTTTGCCTCTTCCAGAGCAACGGCAGCTCCATCTCCTCCTTCTCCACCTCTCCTTGAGCGAGCGGTGACCCTCTGCACCTGCAGGCCAGCGCGAGTTCCCCCTGTGACACTGTGACATCTTCAGAGCTGTGGTTATGAACCTGCGTCATCTGTGCCCAAACCAACAAAAATACATCCCCAAACTGTCTGGCTTTGTATTTTCCTGGAGTTTGAGTCCAGTTGAAGGCATTAGACCATTTTTTCTATATTTTTGGATGCCACAAGTCAGTGCATTTCGGGTGAACATGGAGCCCTGTCACTCAGGTGAGACTAAAGCCTCAAGAGAGCAGAGCTACTGTCTGACAAGATGGGAAGCCACGAGGTGCCAGCACAGCCCCGGCGCTGCCAGGGAAGGTTTCAAAGTTCACAGCACCAGCCTGGTGCTCCAGCCTGAAGGAAGGGGGACAATCCAGGCACCCCAAACCCCCTCCCTCCCCAGCTGGCACAGGGCACCGAGCTCGCAGACTGAGTGATCTCACAGCGCTTGGGCAAGGCAAGAAATCCTCGTTGCTTCCCCTCCCAACTCCCCACTTGCAGGCTGAGCCCTCCCTCCCAGACACTGATTTAAAGACGTGCAGTTGAAAATGAGCTAATTTTGCTTTAAAGGCTGCGAGCCCCGACACAGGCACTGCACCCCTTGCCTGCTGTCACAGTGCACAGAGACTGTCACTGCGAGAGAGCGGCGCCTCATTTCAAGGTTGAATTTGTCCAGCTTCAGACCCTGGGACATTTACCTCCCTAGAAATAATGTGGGGATGCTGTAGTCCATTATAGCAGAGCTGTCACTTGATCAGATCTCTGGACAGGAGCTTGGTTTTTAACACCCTGATGTCCCCACATACCTCCTTCTTTGTACTCTTTTTTTTTTCTTAGACATTAAGGAAACCATATTTTATTTTCAGGCTTTTCCATGCAACTGCGAGGACCAGATACTCCTCTTAAATGACAAGAGCTGAGAATCTTGTGCGCTTGCATGACCACAACGATTTTAAAAACTCCTTTAACTAAACCACTGCCCAGGTTTTACGGAAGACGCGCGAGGCTGATGTACGTGCGGGCTGCTGACACCCAGCGCAGAACACGCGGGCTCCAAAGCACCTCAAATTATCTCCTGCTGGCTTTTGAAGATACGTCTCCACCCTCCATTCAGAATGACAACTTTTGGCAACAACAAGAAAACAGAAATGACAGATGGTAACAAAATCTGGTACACAAACATGACAGTAGGCAGTATAATGAACATTTCACCCACTCCTTCATTTATGCTAATCGGTGCTTTTGAGCAACCGGAATTGTTCTGCCAGACAGCCGCGGATCTGAAGCACAGCAGAGCAAATCTCAGAGGGCCACCAACCTGAAGCCAGGGTAAAACCTACCAAGTGACTCGTTGTGAATTGAATTAAAGTACCACTAAACTCCAGCCTGCTCTGGCGGACACTGAAAAATCCCCCCGCTCCCAAAAAGCACATTGACCTCTCCTCCTGCCTGAAACTCCTGCCCGGAAAACACCACGTCCACAAAATAGAGGCAGTCCGGTCTTCCTGCTACCCAAAGCTCCACCAAAACTCAGAGGAACCATCAAAACTGAGAACTAGCAGCCTTGCAGTCGGTACATACTGTGATAACAAAATGTATTTGCTTTGGCGATGAAAAATTGCCTCTAAAAAGCCCCTTTCTCCCAGATTCAGCTCTCTGGGATGGACTCTGTCCCCACAGGAAAATGGTTACTCTTCCCTTTGAAACCCACTTATCTCACGCTGACATTCTCAGTGGAAGGTGCTATGTCACCCACAGACCTCCTTTTATTTCCTATAAAAATGTAAATCAGCCTATTTTTTCCCCCCAACAACCTTATGTAATGAGCAGTGTTCTCGCTCAATCATTTTGAAGATGTGCTTTAGCCTCTATTTTATGCAGGAATCTGTTGAGACTGAAACCATTCCTCTCCTCTTCCTGTATTTCAGTGCTTGCAATAGATGGAGCTGATGCAAAGCTCTGTCGCTGTTTCTGGGGTGGGCAGGATCTGGAGACATCTCAGAGAGCAACAGCAACACCCTTATAATCTCCCGAGGGTATAAAATAATTCTTCTCATAAATAAATTGCCAGTGCTTTCAGGAAAAAAGGGGCAACCTTGAGCAATTGCCCCCAGAGCCGGCTGGGGTGTGTAATTGTACAAAACTGGGTATATTTGTAATTATAAATGGGGTCCTCTGTGATGAACATTTCCAGACACTGCCCTTGTGGGTCCCAATTTTCCTTTGCTTACAGTGCTGTCAAACATAACCCATGGCAGATGAAACATTCTCTTCTGGGGCAGAATCACAGTGAAAACTCACAAGAAAAAGAGCAAATTTTGGCCAAAACATTTCAGTTGCTTTTGAGGTGAAAACCCCCACTGTATGATCCTGGTGCGCTTCCAGTAACCAGGTCTGTGCTCAGCCCCAGGAGAAGGGGCTGGAGATAATTTTTATGTCAGCAGTTCATCTGATCATAGAATCACAGATCTCCCATTGTGCTCATGAAGATCCACCCAGATTTCTCCAACGTAGAGAAAACTTTGCTTTTCCTGCCTTTTTTCTTATCCCTTTGTCATTTCCTGCCCTGGGTGAAGCATCCCGACCTGTTTAGTTGTTCCTTGGGTGGAAACTACTCCATTTCTTTAATTATCCTTGTTGCCTTCCTCCTTCTCTCCTGGCCCTTCTGAAAGCAGGTTGCCCAGAGAAGCTGTGGCTGCCCCATCCCTGGAAGTGTTTGAGGCCAGGTGGGATAAGGCCTTGAGCAACCCAACCGAGTGGGAGATGTCCCTGCCCATGGCAAGGGAGGTTGGGACTAGATGATCTTTAAGGTCCTGTCCAAGCCTTAATGTTCCATGATTCTATGATTTGGACTCCAATGCTCCTCCCCAGCTGGACTGTGCCTGGGCCAGCTCCCAGCCCACACCCCATCTCCATCAATGGCACTGAGACATTGCTCAGTCTGGCTTTCCCAGACCTGATCCCACCTCAGACCAAAGCCCTTTCATAGTATAGTTTGGGTTGGAAGGGACTTTGAAGATCATCTTGTTCCACCCCCTGCCATGGGCAGGGACACCTTCCACTAACCCAGGTTGCTCCAAGCCCCGTCCAACCTGGCCTTGGACACTTCCAGGGCTGGGGCAGCCACAGCTTCTCTGGGCAACCTGTGCCAGGGCCTCACCACCCTCCCAGCCAAGAATTCCTTCCCAATATCCCATCTAACCCTGCCCTCTGGCAGTGGAAATCCATTGCCCCTTGTCCTGTCCCTCCATCCCTTGTCCCAGGTCCCTCTCCAGCTCTCTTGGAGCCCCTTTAGGCACTGGAAGGGGCTCTCAGGTCTCCCCAGAGCTGCCTCTTCTCCAGGCTGAACATCCCCAGCTCTCCCAGCCTGGCTCCAGAGCGGAGTTGCTCCAGCCTTCAGAGCATCTCTGTAGCCTCTTCTGGACTCGCTCCAGCAGTCCCACATCCTTCTCATGTTGGGAACCCCAGAGCTGGAGGCAGCACTGCAGGTGGGGTCTCACCAGAGCACAGCCCACCCTCACCTTGCTGCTCCTCTTCTGACGATGCAGGCCAGGACATGGTTTGCTTTCTGGGCTGCCCCTTCAATCTGTAGGTACAGATGGCATCTGTTAAAAGATAAGCAAATCCTAATTTGTTTTGTTTTGTTTTGCTTTTAGGGTTTTTTTCAAGGGTTTGCACAGACACAGAGGCTTCTCATCCCCTACCACCCATACTCCCCTCTTCATTTTCCTGGTGTCAGAGTTAGGAAGCCACACATGATGTTCCTTCTCTCCAAGACCTGGTGAACTGGCTGGTAGGTCGTCTGGTGAGAAGGGATCTGTCCTGGGATGCTGTGAAAAGGTGGGAGCTTCTGCCTGTTGTTTGCCACGGAAAAGGGAAGATGTCTGCATTCAGCTGCTGCTGATACCAGGAACACCAGCTCAAACCCAGGAACACCAGCTCAAACCCAGGAACATCAGCTCAAACCCAGGAACACCAGCTCAAACCCAGGAACATCAGCTCAAACCCAGGAACACCAGCTCAAACCCAGGAACATCAGCTTGGGACGGTGCTGCTCCAATGCTGCTGTGGCTGCAGGAGGCTTCACCCCGTGTCCTTGGCAGCCCAGGTGTGTTCACAGGGGTCCCCCAGCCTGAGGTCCCCGGGTGCCCTGGTGCTGCCCAGCCACGGACACCCAGCTCTGGCACGGGATGCGTGGGGCACAGGGGCCGGGATGTGGTGCTGGGTGGTCTCCGTGGCTTTGCTGCAGCTCCTGGGGCCAGAACCCCAACAGCCTCCAGCCCTGCCGGGGCCGTCCCCACATCCCGGCTCGCTGGACACACTCAAAGTTCACGGTGCTATAAATACCCGGAGCAGGGCGCCAGTGCTCCCGGCCGGGTGGGGGGGCTGAGAAAACCCGAAGGGGTTTCGTTGCAATTAACCCTGTGGGTGCACAAGTCCTCTCTGTGCGGTTTGAGAAAGAGGAATCCTCCGATTCAAAATGTTTCTAAAGCCAGAAGAGTGCAGCAAACTCCTTCTGTGGGTTGATTCCTGCTGCAAACAGCCCTGGGATAGGTACTGGGATTGGAGGAGCGCAGGAGGCTGCAGGACAGCACAGGGAATGGGTGGTTTGTGGCCAGGAACATCCACAGTGTGACCCCCCAGCTTGGGCAGATCCTCGTGCTGGGGACACGGTGATGTGGGGCCAGCATGGCTTGTGTTGTCCCCTAAAGCAGAGGCTGCCTGTGCACCTCTCACTGCCCTCAGAGCCCAGGCTGGTGCTGCACAGCCCCACACCCTGCCCTGTACGGCCCCATACACTACAGTCCTTTACCCCCGAGCCTGCCCCGTGTCCCTGGCCCCATGTGCAGGTCTCACTCCCAGCAGAAGGGCTAAAACTTGTTGAAAATCCCAGAGTGCCACAGAAATGCCCTAAATCAGGACAAGCTCCATCGCTGGCTCAGGGACAGCCCCAAAACATGGAGTCCCCAGTGGTGTCAGGTCACCTGAGGCACAGCACAGTGCAGTGAGGTGTGAAGGGGCTCTCTCTGGAAAGCCAAACACATGGGGAGACCCCCACCACCCTACTCGAGGCTGTACAGAGCCCTTTCACGGTGCCAAATGTGTCTTTTTAAGCATTTCTCTCACAAACTCTACTCTGCTGGGTTGAGGGGCAAGACAGTCTCCAAGGAAGAGCCTCTTCCCCCTTTCACCCTGTTCAGAGCATGGGAGATGGAAAGCTCAGAGCAATGGCAGAGGACAAGCCTGCAGAGCAGAGCCTGATGAGCTGTCTGTGACCTTGTGGCTCCTGCTGGGGCTGGACACAACTCAGTGCACACATGGCTCAGGACCGAGCAAGGTCCTTGTCACCGAAGGTCTCACAGCACCCAGGGCTGATCCCCAGCTCCAGCGGGGCCGGGCTGTCCCGAGCACAGGGCCGGACGTCCCCAGGGTCTCGCAGGGGAATCTCATGGGCCTGCTCAGGTCACAGTGCCCAGCTGACCCTGCCACCAGAACAACCTCATTTCAGCCTCGGAAATGTCACCTTTCGTGTCCCTTTGGGCCAAGCAAAGGCACATTCATCACTTCACTCTCCATCATTTCCCTCTCCTCCCCATCACCGCAGTTCCACCTTGGTGCTGCGGGATGCCACAGCTCTTCCCCACACTTGACCGGTATTTTGTGTTACTCAGGTCGTATCTCCTCCTGCCCACAGGGTCCTGCCCCACGGCTGCGCCCTGTGCCCCGTCCCCCATGCTCCCTGTGCTGGCTGCCCCAGGGCTGGTCCCTCCACGCCCCCACGGCCACCGAGTGTGGCATCGCCGGATTCCGTGCCCGGCACGGCACCGGAGCAGAGGAGCCGGAGCCGGAGGCACTAGGGGGAGATAAAGGCCGGGACATGCCGGGCCCTGCGCCCTCGCCAGCCCCTCCTGTCCCCTTGTCCCCAGGGCCACCCTGGTCCCGGCTACTGGCGGGGACAAAGAGGAGAGCTGCAGGTTTCCGCCTGTCACAGTCCCGTTGCTTTGCGGGGTCTTTCCTGGCATCTTCGGTCTCTGGGAAGCACCTCTGGCAACGAGAGGCCTTACGGCATTTACATCTTCATGCAGCAGGTATAACAGCAAGAAACCACCTTTTCCCACGTGCAAAGAGCACAGGGGCACCCCAAAAACTCACCCAGGAGGAAGGAGAACAGCATACAGCACCCAGACCAGGGGCCAGCAGGGAAGGAGGGGTCTGGGGACCCAGCCTGGAAGCAGAGAGTGACACACACTGCTGAGCTGAGCTGGAAGCTCAGCCTGTTGTTGCCCCAACTCCCCTTTCCCAATGCCCCTCAGGTGCACTTGGCATTGGCACAGCCATGACAGCCTTCACAGGACCCCAGCACCAGCAAACTGGGCACCTCCAGGGCTAAAACCATTCCAGGGGACATCTGGCTCTAGGCACCACCCCGATATCACACCAGCTCCTCTCTTCCCATGGATGTTCCCTTCTACAGGGGCTCCCTGCAGCCCCTCTCACCAGAGATGGGAGGATTTCAGATGGGCAGAGTTTGGGGGAGGTCCCAGGAGACAAAGAGCCAAACCAGCAGGACCTGTCCCCAGCAGAGTTGTTTGTGCCCAGCTGGGTCACACAGGGCCCTGTGGGTGCAGCCCTGGCTCCCGTGTCATGAATTGGTGCCAGATGCTGGGCAGGCACAGTGCGAGGGCAGCTCCGTGGGCAGGAGCCATGTGAGGGGGGCACTTCTCCCTTGTATCTTCTATGGATTAGAAAGAAAAGTTACATCTTACCCCGTTTTTCCAGTGTGACTGGCACAGAGTTAACCCAAATACTACTGATAAACGTTTTTATGTTGCCTGTGATGCCATCAATCCATAGTGCCCTTGGGACCTGGGCTCACCAGGCACATCCCTGAGCTCCCCCTAAAAAACCCACACAGCACCTGCCCCCAAACCACCAACCTACCCCAAACTTGTGTTTTCTCTCCCACTCTCCAGTTTGGTCACATCGTGGTACCGCTTCCCCTGCAGCCACATCTCTGATTTGCTCATATTCACAGTTACTTACAGCTCCAGCTCCACAGTTCTCAATACCCTCACTCTTGAACTTCCCATCTGCCGGCGCTGGAGGGGAACAGGGCGGCTGGTAACGCAATCGGGATGTTGGCCTCGGACCAGGAGGCTGGATGCAGAGGGAGGAAGGCAGAGGGGTGCCTGGGGCAGGGTGTCATCTGAGCCCCTGCGGGAACAGGGTGTCTTTGCCTCGATATGAGCTGGCAAGAGCGAGAGGAGGGAAGGAGATCCTCCGTCAGCACTTTGCTATGCGCCGCACTCCCTGTCCCCCACTCCCGGGACACACGGACTCACCGCTGCGGTGGCAGCACACCCATACCCAGGGCTGCTCATCCTGGCTCCTTGCTCCCTCCCAGGCCTGGAAAGTTTCACGGCTTCGTTACAAACACACGCTCAAAGAGCAGAGACTGGGTGCGTCAGTGCTTTTCCCGTGCTGTGAGGTGAGGGAGGTGCACACGGGAGCACCCCATGGCTCACCCCGTGTGCCGAGTGTGCTGACAGAGGCGGCTCTGGCACGATGCTGTGGATATGAAAGAGCTGCAGATTTGTGCTCAGCCCCCAGCACAGCCCCTAAACCTTTTGGAGGCTCTTGTGCAAGTCTGGGGTTTGCACTGTCTCTTAGCCAGTAGCAGATACCCGTGGATTTGCAGCAGTTTTACCTGGAAGTAAAGGCTTATTTTTTCTGGTATTTTTCAATAACATTAAATAAAGACAAAGGGATTGCCTGGGATTGCTTGTGGCACCCAAATCAGGAAGGAGTCGTTTTCTCACCCAGCACTGGGAACAAGAAGGTCATTTATCACCAACTTCAGTGCTCTTACTGCAGCACAGCTTCCCCACTGTGAAACGCATCCTGTGCCACCATGGGACACCAGTCCAGGATCTTGGGCTGCAAACAGGCAGGGATTGGAGTTTGTTTCAATTGTTTCCATGCTGCTGTTTTGCTTTTAGCAAATCATTCCTAAGATGGTGCCATCCTGCTGCATGTTCTACCCATTCAATTCCCATCTCCCAGCTTGGACACAGCCTTTGAAAAAGGACACCTCCAGTGCACCCCCAGCACTAATCCAACCCCTCTTCCCAAAGGCTCCCGCTCACAGGTGCCTCGTGCCAAGCCCAACGTGGTCACTTGTCTCGGAGCGTCGAGTACAAAGCATATGCAGGACAGATGGGTATGAGGCTTATAAGATAATTAAGCATGTTAATGAAGTTCATTTGCATCTAGCTCTTAAATTCCCATAAACTCGGCGAAGCTGGGAAATGAGAATCGCTGCTCGATGCCACAAAGCAGCAAAACTTTAGTTACCAAAAGAAAATGATAATTACCAAGTCGAGACCCAAAGCCATCAAGGCCCAGCCGGCTGCAGCCCCCCAGGCCCCCGTGGCAGAGCTGTGACACTCGATGCCACCGATGTCACTGCAGCGGCCACGGACGTTAACACAGAGTGCTGATGGGCTTTGCTGGACTGAAACAGCACAAAAACAGGGAGAGCAGGGGGAGTTACTGCTCCAGGGAAGGACCTGACACAGAGATGGAGGAAAAGCTCTGAGTGGTGTGAAAAGGAAAGCCCATGGCTGGTGTGGGGAGCCAGGTGAGAGCACCTCCTCTCCACGGGCTGCCTCTGAAGCAGGACCAGGGCAGGGTCCTTTGGTGAAGCCTCAGCGATGGTACAGCAGAGAGAGGCAGGTGGGTACCCCTCAGGCACAGAGGGAGTCCAGGGCTGTGACCAGAGAGAACTGGAACTGCTCCATGAAACTAGGGGAACAGCTGGAACTTGGGGATTGCCAGGGAACACCCAGGAAAACAAGGGTAGGAGCTGAGAGGAGATCTGCCCCACACTCACCTTCCCCAGCACCGGAGCTGGGAGGGCACAGGGGGTCCCCGTGCCCAGCCAAGCCCAGAGGTCACCTGCAAGTTCTCAACTCCCCAGGAAAGCTGAAATATCACCTCCAGTTCAGCAAGGAGGGCACAAGCCAGGCATTTCCAGCCATCCATGGATCACAGACTGGGAGACAGCTCCAGATGCTGCAGCACCTCTCCATCACCCCTGAGCTGATGGTGGTTCCTCAGAAGCAGAGACCCCACAAGCAGCACAGCCGTTGTCTCCCATTGTCCCAGAAAGCCTTTTGGGAACTGCTGTGAAACACATCCAAGAGATGTCTGGGCTTTGTAAGGAAAGTCCCCACGTGAACTAATCAAGCACAGGGTGGATCTTTCAATACACCCAACGTTGGTGTACAACACATCCTGAACAAGAACCAAAGCACAGAGAGAGAAGAAACTTTAACATGGGGTTACCCAGGACAAGACAACGCCAAACTGAACACAGGAAGGCAGGGTTTATTTGAATACCTCGGTAAGATTTATTAAAAATATCCCTTGGCAGTTGACAATCACCATGATCCACAATTGGAACCTGACTGGACAACATTGGAACAGTTTTCGCCTATAACAGAAGGTGAACACCCAGGAACACCACAGCAAGGCCTACACATCCCTACTGGCATCAAACACCTGGGCTGGAACTGAGGAGCACAGGGCAATGCCTGGCTGTGGCACCAATCACACCACAGGCATTACTGTGTGCTCTGATACTTACCTGGGCTGTGGGAAAACCCAACTGTTTAAAATATGGGGAAAAGAATTAATCAGAACCCAGATTCCACCTCTCCATGCTTCCAGGGGGACAAAGCTCTTGGTCTTGCTGCAGCCGAGGGAGAGCATCAAAATGGGAGGTGGGAGGTCTGGCTGGACCCATCCCGATGCTGTGGCTGCCCCGTGAGAAGGGTCCGGTGCCGCAGGACACGATGGCAGTGGGTCGCTGGTCATCAACAAGGAGCAGGATCCAAAGGAAACCTTCACATCTTCCAGCTCAAACCCTGGCTGGGCAAGGGCTCAGGGCTTCATTAGGGGCTTCATTCCCCAGTGAAACCCCATGAACACACGGTGGGAGGCTTAGGAGAGACCCCAAGGGAGGCAGGGGGTGGTTGGCAGGACAGACAGACAGGATTTGCTCTTTGGGTCAGATTCCGATTTTGGAAGCACCAAGGCTCCTCTTCTCAACCAACCACCCCCCCTCAGTCAGTCCTTGCTCTGTGGACACTCACTCTAGAATAAGTGCCTCACTCCCCTTTCCAAGCGGATCGAGCGGATCAGAGTGAGACATTGCTATTCCAGAGCAAACCATCGATGCTCTCTGCTAAAGAGAAAAATAACTACTTCAAATTCATCCCCTGTTCTGGCCAACACAAGCTCCCTGGGGGGAAAAGCTCTGCTGACACCTCCTGCCACAGCTGGCAATGGCCTCCGGTGGCTGCACAGCCCCTTCTCGACACTTCAGAGCTGCACTAAAATGAGGAAAAATCAGGAAGGAGTTGTTTTCTCACCCAGTACTGGGAACAAGAAGGTCATTTATCACCAACTTCATGTGACAAATTCCTTTCACGTCCTAGGTATGTCCCTAATAAAAAATTAACTCGGTGGCTTCATGATTACCAAAGAAACATTGTCAAAAGCCAGATCCAAACCAAAGGGCTGAAAAACCTTCTGTTCCAAACTGTTCCTCTTCCAGACCATGCGCAAAGGGCTGCAGCTGAAGTGGGGCTGGAGCAAAAATACGAAAGCAAACCGATTTGGAGTTGACACAGTGTATTGTGAATTACTTCTCAGCTTTTCTACATCTAAGAGAGCGTGAAATGAGCGTCCGTACAGTGAAACAGTTCAATATACAATTGATTACAGAGCTGCAGATAATACGTTGGATCTATGTACACACAACGCTTAATATTTCACAGATACAACTTTTTTCCATCTCGGTTTTGTCCACAAAGCATTGGCAGAGTATTTACAGCGAGGCCTCTGTGAGGAAGCCCCATCCCCTGTCACAGCCCCGTCCGAAGCTGCTCGAGCAGTGGGTGTAAACAGAGCGGTTCCCTCTTCCTGCAAGGGAGGGACAAGGTGGGGAACATGGGCTGAGCTGGGCAGGAGGGAAGAAATGATGTCCAGCTAACCTGGAGGCTTCAAAACAGTTTGATTTGCCTTTTTAAAAATTTGTAACTGGAAACTGTTCTTGGTTAATTTTCATTTCATAATTCAGTAACGTTTCGATGACGTTCTCAGTTCATGCTTTCTACCCGTCTGTATTTCTGTTCATCCCCACGTGTGCCTGTGCAAGGTCAGGCAGTGCTGAAGCCTTGGGCCAGCACTGAGGCAGCTCCTCAAGGAAGCAGGGGATGCTCAAGGAAACAAGGGAATGCTCAGGGGTCTGTGCTGGCTCCCAGACCCACCCCCTGGCAAACCAAAGCCAACCCTGGTTTCAGCTGATTACTCCAAAAATAATCTCTCTCAGGCTGTTTGTAATCAGGTGCTGCCACCCTCGATGGCTTATTCAGGGGGAGGTGTAGGTGTCACTGTGTGGACGGAGGGTGGGCAGACCCATCCCCATCCCATCCCCATCCCCACCCTCATCCCTCGCCCCAGTCCAATCCCCATCCCCATCCCTGGCCAGCCATGGTCAGACAGCAGCGCTCCGATTTCTAGCGCAGGGTCTCAGTAACCAGCTGAAATTTGCTCCCACGAGAAAAGCAAACCAACAGGCAGGAGGGAAGGTGCATTTACAAAGGTGTCCACGGACTGGCTGCACAGAGCAGGCAGTGGGATGTTGTCCTAGAGCAAACCTTCTGTATTCGTGCTTAATTAGATGCTGCTACTTTTGGTCTGTGTTTGGCCCAGCCACCTGTGAGAGTCTGTTCTTTTCCTACCAGGTTATAAGAAAACAAGCACTGATAAACGAGAACTCCGTCCTTGAAGGAAGCATCTCATACAAACTGAAATTAATGGGTGACTGGCTATTGGCCAATGGCCCTCCAAGGGCATTTGAAGGAGGAAGTGAAGAGGAGGAGGATGAAGTAAGCCCCCAGACTCATTTAGGAAAGACCCCCCGGGGTGCAGCACACAGGCACAGGGGAATTCCAGTGTACACAGGAGTGCACAGGAGGGGCACCACCTGCACCACAGGGGGGAGGGACCGAGGGCCTCTGGCTGGGCAGTGGTGACCACACCTGCCCAGGTAGACATCACAGGTTAATTGTATGAAAAGCAGAGAGCTCGTGTTGGGAGCAAACTCAAGCTTGACACGGAGGACAACGTTGCCTTTTGTGGGGACACCCGCTACCGTGTGAGCCTGCCGACACCCCGAGGATGCAGCCTGTGCTATGAGCATCCTGGGATCAGTGAGACAACCTTGTAAGTAACACCTGAGTCAGTGGGGGGTTGTACTGAGGGCTTATTTCCCTCCTCTTTCCTCTCTCTTGTGTTCTCGTTTTGTTGGCCACTTTGTAATAAATATTGTTTTGTCAAGCTTTCAACAGTGTGGTGGTTTCGGTTTCAGCATTCTCCCAGCTGTGTAATTTGGTGACGAGGGTGGGATGCTGAACATGAAACACCCCGTTGTTGGGGAAAAAGCAGACTCTGCAAGTAGGGTGCATAGCTTGTAGAGTTGTGCCACTTATTGTGGAAAACAAGCAGGACCCGCCGGTGGAGTGCATAGCTTGCAGGGTGCGCTGCTGTTTGAGGTTTTTTTGTGGAAAAAGTGGGACCCACAGAGTCTGTGGGGCTGCTGCTTATTGCTGGGGGGGGGGGCAGGCTAGAGAGTGTAGCTGTCACCCTGTGTTTTTGTTGTTCTCATGCGAGCTGTGTTGTCTGTCCGTTGTGTCGGTGTGAGCTCAGGGTGTTGTTAACGGCACTGTAATCCCTTATCTGTTAGACGGGGGTTTTTCCTGGACCCCGCAGTGATGGTGTGTGCAGGGTCGGCTGGTTGCTGCCCGACGAGACTCTTCCTGAGTCCTGACTCTTCCTGTGTGAGCGTGTTGGGGGCTGTGGGTGGAGGAACGAGCATGAGTTTGTTAGTAACAGTGTCGAAACCCTGGGATGGGGGTCTGGAAGGTGCCCCTCCTGTTGAGCATCCCGGGTGGATGCAGGAGCCTTGGAATATGCTCTGGGATCGTTTAGAAGCCACACCAGGGCCAGGCCACTGCGCAGGAGCCGCAGGGAGGGAGGTGGCCCAGTGGTGGCTGCAGTGGCAGGAAAGAAGAAAAACAACTCTCTGAGTCTCCAAGCCCTCCAACATGTCGGGTCTGAACCTCAACTACACAACAGGAGGAGAGCTTGGATGCAAAGAAGAGAAAAAAGAAAGGGGAGAGCTTGGATGCAAAAAAAAAGAGAAAAGGGGGGAGAGCTTGGACACATGAATCCTCTGAAAAGTGGACTCACAGCATTGGAACCATCGAATCTATTTGATAATTTAAGTGTCTATAACTTTGGTTTTGGTAACTTTAAAAAAGTGAAATTATTTACATAGTGTATTTTGTGCTTTAAACCAACAAACACCAAGTCCTAGGTGCATGTGTACAATTAGATGCCCTCATACACATCCCATAGTCGAGATTTAAAGAACGTTAATAATAATAAAATTGATGAAGAGAATGAAAAAAAAAGGTTAAAACTTCAGATTGATTGATTGATTTATGCCTGTGTGAGGGATCTGAGTCGTGTTTGAGACTCTGCTGTAGTAGGTCCGTGGTTGTGTTTGCCAATGTGGCATGGGGAAAATATTGTATGGTTTTACTGTTGGGAACTTGACTTTTGGAAAAGATACAACGGAGCCGTTGTTGGCACGAGGTTGGTATCATAAGCTGTTGTGATTTCAGTCACACATGAGCCGGTGTCACCACGGGAAAACACCACTCAGGTGAGGAGAATGAGACCACACTGCTTTGATCCACGGGACACCCTGAAGGTGCATCACCTGAGTGAGTGGGGGGTTGTACTGAGGGCTTATTTCCCTCCTCTTTCCTCTCTCTCGGGTTCTCGTTTCGTTGGCCACTTCTTTGTAATAAATATTGTTTTGTTGAGCTTTCAGCCGTGTGGTGGTTTCAGTTCTGGCATTCTCCTGGCTACACCTTCCCAGAGCTTCACTGCTGCACCAGCGATGGGGACAACTCGGCTGCAGGAGCTGCTGCTGCCTGGGCACCACTATGGCACCTACATGGCAGCTCCAGGGGCACATCCAGCTCCTTCCCAATCCCCCAGCTCTCCCATCATTTACACCCCTGCCTCCTCCACCTCAATGCCGAAGGACCGAAAGACCCCAAGGGTGGGAAAGGAGGAATCCAGCCCCTGCCATCAACAAAGACGATGTTTTATGCCCAGTTAAAAATGCTGTTTCATGGGAAGAAGGAGCTTTGCAGAACAACATAACACCTAAAGCCACCCTGCTGGCACTGGGGGAGCGAGGTGACTTTCCTGAGAGCACGAGGAGGGAGCCTGTTTACCTGTTCCTGGGGAACTCAGTGAGGGTGGCCAAGGTCCTTGTCATCTTTGGATACTGCTGCTGCCTCCTCACTAACTGGAGACGCCCGCCACCGAGCAGGAAAAATTCCCAAATATTCAGCGCAAACTTAGAACTGTTTTTTGTCTCAGCAGATGTTGGAGTTGTTAAGGCTCTTGGCTTTAGAGAGTTTATTACTTTGGAAGTTTAAAGCTGTGGAGTGGGGTGTAACAGCTCTGTCTTAGCATATATATTGTACATCTCTATATCTCAACAGGGTCTCTGAAACTAGAAGCAAGTAAACTGGGGAGAGGGTCTCTCTGGAAACCGTGGGCTCCTGCACTGGGACACAGGGAGAGGAAAAGCTGCTGGTGCTGCTGGGACTGTGCTGGGACCTGTGTGGTGGCCAAACCCTGGCTGAGGCAGCAATGCAGGACACGATGGAGTTGTGCAGCCAACACCAGAAATAAACCCCAAACACAGCTCTGGGCTGACTCAACAAAGGCAAAGCTTCAGAGACTCTGAGGAGGCCTTTCCCCCAGGCACACCCACACATGGACCACGTGCCGTGTCCTTCCCTGCCCCGAGTTAAAGCTCCATACAACCCACCTTCAATTCCAAACTAACACTGAGCAGGTGCATTAAGGTAGATACAAAGACATGAGTGACCAAGGGAGGAAAAGAAGGAAAAACTTGAGGAAGTTGCTTTGTTTTGACTCATCTGGAGGAGGATTTGAGAGTCGATGCTCAAATCAGGGATGTGCAAGTGGTAGCACTGGTTTCACCACACATCTGGCATTGAGCTGGATGACAAACCAGTCAGAGCATCACTGATAAAAGCTGAAACTTAAAATTTTATTAACTCTTCCCAGCCATGATCTTCTCTGCAGTTCTTCAGCTTCATCGAAAGCTGAAACTCCTGGACATTAAAATCCATTACAGTCACAGAGACGCTCCAAGGGCTGGAGCACCTGTGCCATGGAGACAGCCTGGGAGAGCTGGGGCCGTTCAGCCTTCCAGTGCCTAAAGGGGCTCCAAGAGAGCTGGGGAGGGACTTGGGACAAGGGCCTGGAGGGACAGGACAAGAGGGAATGGCTTCCCACTGCCAGAGGGCAGGGATAGATGGGATATTGGGAAGGAATTCTTGGCTGTGAGAGTGCTGAGGCCCTGGCACAGGTTGCCCAGAGAAGCTGTGGCTGCCCCATCCCTGGAAATGTCCAAGGCCAGGCTGGATGGGGCTTGGAGCAACCTGGGCTAGTGGAAGGTGTCCCTGCCC